ACAACGGCAGATTTTTTGAATGTACGTCTTTTTGTATATTTGAATCAAGGCCTCTGCAGTAGAACTATGTCCTACGCATGTGGTTTAGGTTAGCCTAGAGAATATGGGAGATATAAAAGGCAGACTACAGTGCTCATTTCGATTTGCCGATGGAAAAGTTGTGAATAGCGAACCAGCTAGACAAGATCCACATGATGGGTCAGTTGTTTTTGCCCATACGTTTATCAATTATTTCAGTTATCATTACTTATTAAATGCGTCATCTCTCAGAATGAACTCGACTGATTGTGTAATTTTTAGAACTCTGAGATGTGCCACACCTCCAATAAATCGGTTACCTGTGATTCCTCGAAATGACTCACATCATCAAACGACCTTGAGCGTGGTTGCAGAAGGTTTGTGAAACATTTGGACGGTTTACTAGAAACCTGCAGTAATGCTGTTTTGCGGCTTGATGGTTTTCCTTTTAGGTAGAATCACGCCAATCGCGTCGACCAACTTCTCCTTTTACGACTGTAACAGATACACAACATGCTCGAAATGTGCAAAAAGCGAATTTCCTTGTGATTGGTAAGTACTTTACTTCCCAAATTTCAGTGCTCACACTGGGACCATTCATTTTAATTTCCATTCGTGCTTATGACATGCATTCTCCTTTGAAAGTATTTAGGTGTTTGGAGTCGAATGAGTGTGTCGCTGGAAAGCTTACTGAAGACAAATGTCGGAAACAGCATATAGTAAATGGTTTGAATGTGAGTGTTATTTACTGTTTTTTACTTGCTCCTATTGGTCACATCACGGATACATATCTATACATATATATTATAATTTATTTATCTATTTATTTATTTATTCCTTTGTAATCTGATAAAGAAACATATACTTTTTCAAAATCTACTTTATCTTTCGCATTGGCATATATAGGCCACCTTCACGAAATTTTTCCTATAATGGTATGCTGTAATGAATACAACATTTAGCGCGAAGGTCACTCAAGAAGGAAGGGTCCTCAGAAATGCCCGCATATCGTTGCACCTCAAACTAAACTTTATGTGGCTGCCGGGGAGAGGAGAAATATCACAGTGAAAGTATGTGAATTCATACAAATTTTTTTGTTTTTTCCGTTGTTCGTTGTTCAATTTATATCTCACTCATCTCTAGGTGCAGAATCTCGACCCTATATTTATGACGGACTTCCGATGCTACTTCAAAGTGGGCAGCGTTGAACACGAAAAACCAGCTGTGAAAACCTTTGATGATAATGTTATGTGAGGATTATTAATTTTTAATCATTTTGCTAGCGTTGTTTGATGTGCTTTGTTTTAGATGTGATGAGATGCAATTTGATCACTACGGACTTGGTGTTTCGGGAGGAACAGCTCCAGTTGAGTTTAATGTCGTATGGTCATCAAGCGATTCTTCCAAGAAGCACACCTTGGATAACATTGGTGGACTGAGCGTAGAGGTGAACACTTGGATTTTTTTCGTATCTGATGAATGTCGTTAGAAGTTTTTTCAGGTGTATAAATGTGAAGCTCTGGCATCAAACTGCGGACGTTGCCTTACACTAGACTCCGAGAAGTATGAATGTGGTTGGTGTGCGATAGACAACAGGTGTGTTAGACCGATGGCATGTTTGGCAAAATCACCGCAAGATTGGCTAAATAGCACTCAATTATGTGCAAATCCTGTCATAGAGGATTTTAGCCCTAAGAAGGGACCTGTTGGTGGAAAAACGAAGGTATACTATCTGGTCATATGCGTAAAATATGTGTTTTCCATATGAGTTTTTAGTTGCGAATTACGGGATCTAATCTGGGACGACGATATCAAGACGTGTCAGGCGCGGTAATTGTAGCGAATGTCCAATGCGCGGTGATACCAGCCGAATACCAGCCAGCAACGGAAATTGTATGCGAAACGGGCAAAGCGGCAATCAAGAACAGCAAGGGACCGATTGTGGTGATTTCATTTTAGTTACTGTTGGATCTCTGATATCTTTATATCAGAAATTTGTGTGAAGCCTGATCCATATTCCTTTTTTTATGGTTTTTGTGAAAACTGAGTTCCGCAGTGCTAGGACTTCTTTTCGAACTTAATTGATCCAAGAAAATTTAGTATTTTTTTAAACCTTTTATCTCCATTTCTGACATAGATGTATGTCTTCTAATTTTTTCTCACAGTCTGATCATTGGACCTTTGAAGCTTTAATATTGATACTAGCAGTTAGATCTTTACTATTATCAATCAACACAACATTCATCAGCTGGTTCGTATAGAGGCTGCCTTGTTCTAACTCCTAGTCCTTCTAGATGAAAGCATTCTTGAGCTGCAAGAGAATTGATTTATCTCTCAATATGTTACTACACTAGTAACGTCGGTCCGCGGAAACTCACTATCAAATAGTTCATAATTCTAGGTGAGACTTCGCGCTGACGACGCCAACTATGCGGCTGTTTCAAAATATGATTTTGAGTACGTTGAGCCAGGTGTGTCATCTGTGAAGCCGAACAGAGGTAAGCTAAATAAGTGAAAAATCAGCAAATTCTTTTGAATCAAATTAGGGAATATGATTTAAGCCAAACCTTAAGCTAGTAGTTAGTGTTAGAGATGCAGAAGGTTGAAATCATTGCACGTTTTATTATCATTATTATGAAATTTTGAATGCTCAGACGGCAATTTGAATGATAACAATCTCAATTTTTATACAAGCTACGGTGAATGGATAATCAGTTGAATTGCCGTCCGACCATTCATTTTCGGCAAAAGGAGAACGAAATTTCATGATGTTGACTCTGTCGTGAGGCACCTTATCATAAAAGACGTACAATGATTCCAACCTTTCTCTAAAATCTCTAAAATCAATTTTTTTTT